TCGGATACGCAACACGTCGCTGTAGTTTAGCAGGGGCATCCTCGTTACAGAAGCAAAATCAACAGTACTGTATTTGGCGAGAATCCTCCGTCGCCACTTTCGCCATCGTATCGTGAAGCTTTCATAGCCCGCAGCCAGTCGATGCTTTTCTTCTCCCGTGAGCTCCCGAGATTTCCGAGCCTTCCACCGCCTCACCACCTCCCGATATTCTCGGTATTTTATCACGGGTTCGTCATATTCATCCTCGGCCGGATTGATATCAGCTAGCTTCCTCTCCATACGCCTCAACTTCCTTACTAGTCTGTGGTGAGCAGGATGCCGACCACCGGCTACGACGTGCATCAAGCGTGGCACTCTATCTGAGTTAATGAAGTCGTCATATTCTCCTCGAGGTCCAAGATCAACAGACATGGAGGATCCTCCAACAGCAGTCGCCAAGTTAACGCCAGTAATCTCCTGTTGCTTCTTCTCTCTCATAAGCTCTACCTCCTCTTCCATCTGCTTCAGAACTGCCAATTGCTCCTCGTCCAGTCCATCCACTGTAGCATCTCTATCTCCCTCATGAACGGGTTCATATCGTATACTAGCAATACCGTTGGTCTCCGCTTGCGGTGTCGAGTACCTCGTAATAACAGTCGACGGTGGTGTAGGATGAATACCAGCCTTCCTCTCATCCTCCAGAGAATGGCTGATAACCCTAGCAGACCAACGCTCAACGCCTTGTGATAATGCCGTAGTTTCATCTGGAGCGATACCACTCCCATCAAGTTTACGCATTCCAAGTAGCTCCACATCGCACAGTTCGGAATGAGAGGATCGCCGCGGAGTCGCACCTTTTGTAGCGGATCGCAATCGGTCCACGAGTTGTCGGCCCAAATCAGTCAAGATGAGGCGAGTGTTCTGCTGTTGTTTCAGAGGTGACTCTACCGCAAATGCACGCATAAGCAAAGCTATGGTCTCGGCATGTATCGCCTCCCTCGGGACAGCAGCCCGAACCCGAGCAGCTAGCTGCGGCAGTAACGAGTTAGTAGGTTTGCATAGCCGATGAAAAGCCAACAATATCGATCTGAGTCTGCGCTGACTCATACGGTCCAAATTGGACTCCGTAGCACGGGATAGGCATATTAGGATCCTCTCGTCACTGAAGCATTCAAGGTTCATGAAAACATGCAGGAAGCGTTCGATATGGGCCGGTTTCAGCTGCGTGAACGTGGCGTCGATCTCACGTCTCAGGCGGTTCATGAAGGTAACAGGGGGTCTACTGACTCCTGCCTTCAGCAAGGTGACGCAATAGTAAAGCAGATTGCCGGTCTGTATCTCCTTCGATCGAAGGAAGGCTTCCGTCATCCGATCGATTCCGATAGTAGTAGTAGAGCGAGATATGAGGGAGATGTCCCGGGCGGACATACGACCGAGTCTGGTCTCGATATGGGCCTCCAGGTCCGAGAGGAAGCCCTTGTCACGTAGTTTATCAGCAATATGTGGTGGTAGAGCAGAATAGTAACT